AAGTCCATGAAGCAGAAAGAAAACATTAAAAGCAGCACCATAACGAAGGAGCAACTTGAGAACGAACTACTGAAACTTCTTAACTCTTACAGCAAATCCATGAAAACTAAGTGTGTTCTTCCTTCTAAATCTGTTAAAGATAAGTGTGATTTTCCTTTTGAAAAATCTGATGTTGTGCTTGTAAGTAATCAAGCTTGTGAAAAACTAATCTTTTTCAAACCGGTGCAACCGAGTAGTATTGATTCTTTTTCACAGGTTCTTGAAGAAAAATTATCAGTAATTGCACAAAGGTGTTTCCCATCAATTATGGACATGGAGCAATCAACTAGTTATAATCCAGAACCACTCATTATGCCATTTCCTTGTGACTACCCCAAAAAAGCACTATAAGGAAATTGATTTGCTTAGGACTGAACCTAATTTGTTTAGGTTGATATTTGCTCAAGATGAAAAACGTTTTGGCTTGGAAAATGTGAAAGAGTTTTGTGTTTCAACATATGTTTTTGACAAAAGGGTTCCAACTTTTGAAACACTCATGTTTGAAAAGTTTTTTTTAAGCCAAAAGGATTTATGTCAGATAAATTTTGTGAATTGAACCATTCTTTAAGAGATTCTATGTGTATCAAAACTTTTAAGTTGTCTAAAACTGAAACGGAATGTGCTATGGTTCAAACTTTTTCAAGTTAAATCAAATGCTTGAAAATGTGTTTTGTGATTCAAATTCGATTAGTGAACTTTGTAAACCAAGTTTGGAGGATCATGTTATTGATAGTGGTTTATCCAAGTTTACAAGGATTAATACCTTTTCAAGTATAATGCACTTGTTCTATCCAATGAGTGCTCAAAAAGGAACAAAAAACCATGGAAAAGCATAAGTACTTTGGAGAAGTGATATCAAGGAGAAGTACATTCAAGGTTAAACTCGGAAGCCAAAATGATTTGAAAAGAGCTGAAGGTGCACTGAACATTTTGGCGATCAAAGGAAAGCCACCATACATGCATCAACCTCAATTCATTTGCAGAGAAACTAAACTGATTGGAATTAGAGATTTCACAAGAGGCAATGCAGAACTGATTTAAGTCAAGGAAAAGAACTCACGTGTTCTGTTCAAA